TGACATGACTATTGGTATCATCTCTCTGATTGAGATGTGTGAGGCTTTCATCTTTTGTGGCCATTTGAACTGTAGCCACCTGCTTCCCTCGTAGGCCCCACATCCTCAGGTGCCTGAGGCATCTGTCACCTGGGGGTTTGCTTTGTAGAACCGCACCAGCATGGAAGTACCATTCCATTGGGTGGCAAATACTGACCACCAGAGGATATCAGACCTCGCCGAAATATTAAGGCGGACAAAATTGTCGAGGTTTTTGACTACTGTTGACAGAGTAATGAGCCGGCGTAAGAAAGAGCGCCCCTGACGCACCGCCTTGGAGGTATGTTGCAGGTAGCCAATCAGGGACAGCAGCTCCCTCTTTTTGCCTGCCTTACGGCCTTCCCATTCTGCTAGTAGCTTCCTCAAGCGTTCCAGTTTCTCAACTGGGAGCCGGATTTCCATCTTGTGTGTATCCAGTTCGATGCCGAGGAATGTGAGCACTTGGGCAGGACCCTGGCATTTGTCCTCCTCTAGAGGGGTCCCTGTGACCTTGCAAACCTGAATGATGCCCTGCAGGTTGCACTGACATTGGTGAGAACTGGGAGGCCCCAGTGTGATAAAGTCGTCTAAATAGTGAAACACTGGGTGCACCCCCTTTTCGGACATCATCCATTGGAGAGCATCAGCTATGGCTGTGAATATGAGTGGAGCTGAGCGTAACCCAAACGGCAGCACTTTGTCTATGTATGTCTGCCCCTCTCATTGCACTGCCAGCAGATGGCGGTTGTCGGGGTGCACTGGTACCATGCGATATGCCTGCTTAATGTATGCCTTAGCCATGAGCGTCCCCTGTCCTAGTCGTAGGATCTCATCTACAATTTGATCCACTGTTATGTAGGACACGCTGCACATGTCCCTGTCTATGCCATCATTTACACTGGCATTGCTGGGTGAGGACAAGTCTACGATCAGGCGCCATTTTCCTGGCTTAGCTCTCTTTGGGATTACTCCGAATGGGCTTATGTGACACTGAATGCTAGGAGCTTGTGATGGAGAAACCACCACCATGCGGTTCAGCAGTACCTCCTGTTGGAGATAGTCTCCGACCACATCTGGGTGCTGAAGGGCGGACACCATGTTGGTTGAGCAGCTAGACAAGCTCTTAGAGTGGTCGTAGCCAACGCGGAAGCCCCTCTTTGCACGTAGGCTGCAAAAGGCACGGTCAGGATGGTTCGCCAGCTCTGTCTCCCATACCTCACTGATGAGTGGGGTGGTTATCTCCACCATTGCTGCAGGCAGGCTCACTGCTCTGGTGGGCTTGCAGGCTTGCAGCCTCTCGAGCTGTTTGATGTATGAGGGGCCTCCATGACCTAGAGTGGATAGCAGCCATGTGTAATAAATGTCAAAAGTCCACGCCCCCTCTCTGTATATACTAGGGATTGTCATCCGCTTGGCATGCATCGCCTGCGCTTGTGATAGCCCCCAGATAGCAATATCGGGGCCACCAACCGGCCATTGAGTAATGAGGGTAAATAAATGCAGGATAAATGCTCTGATGTCTGGTCTTTGCGTCCTGCCCGGCTACTGTTGTCTGGGCTTTGGTGGAGACTTCGCCTTAGGACACTTCAGCGCCCCATGATCCGTCGCCCGGCAGATTGGGCACTCATGGGTATATGCACATGACTCCCCATGAGGGCAGCTCAGGTAGTGGTACTTGTTCCATTTGTGGCACGCCTCTTCTGAGTGAAAGTGTGGGCGAGGCATGTATGTTTGGTGTGGTCCATGGATGTGCAGATGGAGCACCAACCCTCCGCGCTCAGCGACATCCCCGTGAAGCACTGGGTATGGATGCTGCTGTCAATCTTCGACCAGTCTGTCTTGCCAGTGTCTGCTGCCTCTTGCCGAAAATACTGGTCATATATTATCCAAGATGGCCAGCGAAACTTCTTGCTCAGACGTGCGATTATGGCCGCGTACATCAGCAATGATTGGGCCCTTTCTGGATGTTTGGTTAGCAGGACCGCCGAGTATATCGCGAAGCACTGCATCCACGTAGCGAGGTCGGGGATGTGCTTCTTGGAGTGGACATAGTCCGCTGCCTGGAGCAGTACAATTTTGCCCTCTACGTCACTCGATAGGGCCGCTGGAGTTTTACCAAAGCCTCTGGCCGGGGGAAGTTCCCCTAGGTCTGTGAATTTTCCCGCCAGGATGAAGTCCACCAGGGACCGCTTTAAGGCCGGGACTCCTGGGGCCACCACAATGGTGTCCATTGCTTTGGAACTGCCCGCTGCTCCTGCCATAGCTACACCCATGGCTGCTGGTTGCATTCCACCCGCCAGTATACTTGAGAGTGTGGTGGAGGCTGGTGTAGTTATTGCGCCATGGACTGGATGTCCCGCTGTACCAGCTGAGGATGGCTGCAGGGGAGTGGAGCTGGTACTTGGGAAGCTCCCAAGCCCCAAGCTGCCCAAAATGCCACTAGTGGGCATGGTGCCCAGTCCTCCTGCTCTTGCCCCTACAGGATGGGAATAAGACAGTAAGGACTTCTGAGGATGGTATGTGCCGTACTTAAGGCGCTGCGGCCCGAGTGAGTGGGGTTTGGCCGACCTTTGACTAGTGCTGGTCTGACTTTACACTGCAGTAGTGCCCCCAAATGCAGCCGTGCGTTGCTAGAGCATGGCTTTGAGCCCAAGAGCTTTGGATTGCTGTGGCACTGACCACCCTCAAGGTCCGAGGGGTCGTGTATAGCTTAGACCAGCACTGCCCCCTTTGGGGAGCTTGGTCTGCAGTAGTCTGTCACCAGCTCTGCCCTGGCTTGAGGCCCTTGTTCCAGGCCAGCGTCTACTTCAGATGCAGAGCCAGGCTGCCTGCCATGACGCACCCCCAGGAGCTTGGTCTTTTAGGCCAGCAGGTGATATGGTGGGCTTATCAGCCCAGCTGAGTAAGTATGGTATGCACAGCCCCGCCCCCTGCCACACGTTGCTGGAGTGGAATGGCAGGTGGACATGACTGATAAGGCAGGCTTTGATTGCTTAGTAACCTGCAATCTGTGCCACTGTATTTTGCCCCGAGCTTGGTAAATTAAAAATCCTGCGAATTTAAAAAAAGAGGCATATTATAGGGATGGTATGGAGACAAGATAGGGATAGTATAAAAACAAAGGGAGACAAGGTAGGGATGGTATAAAAACAAAGGGATACAAGGTAGGGATGGGATACATGAGCATGGTTAATGAACAGATTTGAGCACGCTGACCCCCAACCCCATCACCCAATCCCTATATTGTTGCCTGGTGTGCTCTTATAGGGAATGTGGCATTATTATTATAAGGGCTAAGCATTCTTTCACCATCCCCCTGTTGTTTTTAGTACTGCCACATTTCCTTTAATTAAGGTTGGTACTGTATTATAAGTTCTTATGGTGAATGTTGATAGGTTGGGGGTGTCAGCGTGCTCAAATCTGTTCATTAACCATGCCTCTTGTCTCCCTTTCTTTTTATACCATCCTTCTATGCCTCTTTTTTTAAATTCGCAGGATTTTTAATTTACTTGTCTGCACTCATTTTTATATACTACTATGTATAATTAAAAGGGGGCTATAAAAATTGATAAAATGCCTGTTGTCGTCATGGAAATGATGTAATATGCATGCGTACCAAGTTTCATCTCCATGTGTAGTACCGTTAACAAGTTTGAGGAGGGAAGTAAATGAAGTAAATGCCTGAGGCTATTTGTAGTTGTTCAATTGTCATGGAAACGATGTCATACGCATTCGTACCAAGTTTCATCTCCATGCATGCTACCTTTAGCAAGTTGGAGACGTGAAGAAGTAGTTTTAAAGAAAAGTGCCTGAGGCTATTTGTTGTCATGGAAACGATGTAATACACATGAGCACCAAGTTTCACCTCCATGCGTGCTTCAGTTAGCAAGTTTGAGGAGGGAAGAAGTAGTTATAAGCAAAATTGCCTGAGGCTTTTTCAAACAATGTGGTCCTCATGGAAACATGTAATCTGGAAATGATATAGTAGGCATACGTACCAAGTTTCACCTCCATGCGTGCTACAGTTAGCAAGTTTGAGGAGTGAAGGAGTTTTTAATAAAACTGCCTGAGTTATTTGTTGTTTTGGTCATCATGGAAATGATGTAATACACATGCGCACCAAGTTTCACCTCCGTGCGTGCTACAGTTAACAAGTTTGAGGAGTGAAGAAGTAAACAAAATTGCCTAAGTCTTTTTTAAACAATATGCGGTCGTCATGGAAACATGTATTCGTCATGGAAATGATATAAAGGCATATGTACCAAGTTTCATCTCTATGTGTGCTACCATTGGAAAGTTAAAAAAGTGCCTGAGGCTATTTGTTGTTATTTGCAAACATGCATTGTTGTGATTTTGATGTTGGCTATTCAGGTGTATACAAAGTTTTGTTCACATACCCCTTACCAATTGTGAGTTACACTGACGCATGTAGTATGCCATTATAATGTATTTCCTTGGGCAATTTTGTTGTTGTTTACAGTAAACAACATTGCTTACAAACAAAAAAGTATGATGTTACACACATGGTTATGTACATTCCTACAAAATTTTATGGCTTTATCTCTTTCGGTTTTTTAGTTATGCTGGTTGAAGAAGAACAAGGTGATGATGAACAAAAGTATATTATACCTATCATAGCCCCATACATCTATGGTGCTAGGTACCATGCCCATCCCTATATACTAAGTACTACCGTACTTAGTCATGGTCACATCTGTGGTGGTAAAAATCGTTTGTACCGAAACTACTTACGGAAAGCAATAGGTACTATGCATTACATAAGTATGCTCTTATGTTCAGTACATTTTTACTCCCCAAACTTGCTAACCTTAGTTACATGCATTAAAACGACAGTTTAAGTCATTTATCACAGATATTGAGTATTATTGCTTCACTTTTGGTGATACAAGTTATGTTGGACTGACATTCAGATGACCTTGATCTACGATCAAAAGTACACTTTCTACTGCCTTAGCCTTGGGCACGTTATACCAAAAATAAATAAATACAGAGAATGCATGTAATTAAAAGATATTAAGACTTTCATTTTCTGCAGTGTTGGTCTCAATATATGCAAGTATATCACCACTTTCCATATTTTGTTTTTTAACATCAGTAACCTCCACATTTATGATACTACTGGCAGTGTCAGGTTGTTCCGTCACTACTGCTGCACACCTCTTTGTTTGAAGTAGATCATCCACAGTATCTGAAATACTGTAATGTGTGGATTGGAGCAGTGGGACTTAAAGGGTGTGCCAGAAAATACATGCTGACATGAAATGTTCACCACGAACTTGCTGCATTAATAATAAGTCCAGGTGTACCGGGTGTAGTGGTATGTGATATCAAATTAATCTCATGAGACAACACTTTTAGACAAATTAATCTCATAAGACAACACTTTAGACTTTAAACTAGTCACTAGTTTAAATCAACCAAGAAATAGTACTAACCTCACAGGGGCAATAAACCCACATTTTTTTCAACCAATTACCAGAAATGTGTTCCAGATTCCACATGCTAACAACTAGTTCCTTACCGAAATCTAATGCCTTCATCTACCTACAACTTGAGACCATGCATGTCCATTACAAAGGAATGGAGTCGTAGCGTTTGAGGCCTTCGCTGAAGGTGGTCGTAGCGCTCTCCCACGGCCGCTATCGGTGCTTGGCGCAACAGCACTTTCGGATAGTCACTATGGAGTACAGTGATCGGGGAGAGCTCCCGATGGACCAGACTTTATACATAGCCCATTGTGGTATAGTAGGGGTATACTTTTCGTTCTCACAAGCGCCCGGCCCATTTGTTCCTACTCGGGATCCCAGAGGGGTCTGGTGTTGGTGGGTACTCCTCTTTAGGTGCACTTCTCACACTGTCCTTGGTTCCTCCAGCGTCACAAATATGCACTGAAGAAGATGTACCTTGGTCCTCATCATAAATCTCGGTCAGGGCACAACTACAGTTACCGGCAGTTAGGAGCCCCGGTAGGTACATGTTGGTTAGCTCCTTCGATGGAGCGAGTAAGCAGTTCCGAATCTAGCATGGTTCCCTCTATCTCCACTTCTTGCGGTGAACTTAACGATGTCTCTGTCTCCTCCTTTTCAGATTGGGCTGAAGGACCTCCTGTATCCTTAGTCTTCTTGGATGGACGTTTGCTCGGTGGCCAAAACTCTGTACCAAGTTCCTTGGGACAGTGTCGCAGGCTGTTTATGGCCACTAACAAGGGCTCTGGTCTGTCAACGTGAAATATAGTGGCAGTGTCGCTATCCATTTGAGATTCGGTGTTGTCCATGGAAGGGCCGGGTTAGCTTTCTGGCCTCTCTAGTTTTTTCTACCGGCTTGTAAAGTCGAAAAGTCGAGAGTATCGTTGATTCTTGGAAGAAGGAATTCGTCGAGTTTTGTGACACTGTTCAATTTTGTATATACAAACTCACATTCCTCCATCTTTCTTCCACACGAGTACCACGGGGCTCACCAATGGGCCTGCGGAGGAAGGTACAATGATGTCTTGCAAGAGTGTCTCTCCGACCATCTGGTCTATTTGGTCTCTCAGGGCAAATGGCATTCTTCGTGCCGGCTGTTGGATTGGTGGGTGGTACTGAGGTCACTAGTCCAAGGAAAAAACATCCACATAACTGAGCAGACACTCCTCTATTTGGGCACGTTGTTGTCCTGGTGTCAGGTGATCTAGTTTAGGATTGAGCTGCTCTTCGATCTGGTTTTGCGTCTAAGGTCAGCTGGTTCACTAAACCTCCAGCAACTGTCAAATCTTTCTTCTGCTAGAGACACTGTCCCTAGCTCCGTGCCAGCCCTGAGGTACCTTGAGGTGGTACCAGAGTTTTCAACCATTAACGTAGCACAGAGTTCGTTCCCACCCTCAATGGCAGCATCCGCTAGTGAGAGGCTGTAACAGGAGAGGTGCAGAGTCAGGCTTTCGACAGATTTTGGTACACACAATATTTGTGCGTCTTGCTGGAATCTTAGTGGTTTTGAGAAGGTAAACTATTCCTTAAGGTTTGTCATGACCTTGGTCATCTGCTGTGTCTGGATAGAATGACTGCAGTAGTGGCTCTGGGGGGTGTTCTCCGGTTTTTGCACTTATATCTTGAGAGCTTTTTTGCATTGGTTCTCACAGCTGGTACTGCTGCTGCTGCTTCAGCGAAGTTATTTCCCACTGCTGAGATGACATTCGGGGCTGACAGTGTTCTAAGATTCTAGCAAGACGCAGAAAAATTGTGTGTACCAAAATATGTCGAAAGCCTGACTCTTTCAAGGGGGTTTCTCTCCCCTTGCTGAGCATGTTACTCAAGCTGTCTCCTCAGAGCAAACATCAGGGGCTGTCGCCACCGTCAAACGATGCGGCGCCGGGGTACTTAGACATAGGAAAACTTGGAGCAGAGACATCCTGCCTCATTGGCTGACTTGGCCCATGGTCTGCATCTTCGTCCACAGGAGGAAATGGCAAGGGATGGGGCACTCCCAGATTTGGGCCTGATGTTCTGAATTTCTCCTCAAATCTGGCTTTCAACACCAGCTCCTCCATCTTTCCTTCAAAGTGAATTTGGTTTCACTTCAGCCCTGTTCTGAGTCCAGTTGGCCAGGAGTGTCTATCCCATTCAATCGGCGTGAGGTCCCTCCCTTGTAAAGCTTTTGCAGCTCCTGGGCGAACTTTCCTTCTCCTATTATTGGTGGTTTATAGAAGAGTTGAGCTTATACGGCTGTCAGGCGAATAGGCGTGAACTGCCTCTTCACTGCAGCTACGAGTTACTGCGCATGTCCATGTGGCATGATCGATAGAATGCCACTGCTGTGTCTCTTAGGTTGGAGGTCAGATGTGCCAACTTCCAGTTCTCGTCAACCCCGCCACATTTTCAAAGTGTTCATGCCACTCAGTGAAGGAGTCCCCAGTGGCACACCCATCCACTGTGAAACGGGGAATCTGTGGGATTTGCCACATGATCGGCATGGAGAACACAGGAAATGGGGGAAGTACATGGAGGTGGGGTCTGCTGAGGGTGTCTTGGTTCAGGTGGGCCTGGTGTCCAGCCCCACTTCGGGTAGCACGGTACTTCGTACCCCCAACACCACTGGCTGAGCTTTAAGTACCCCAGGTGCAGTTCCTGAAGCACTTCACACTGTAGTCGAATACCCACCCCCACACATAAGGCCACCAGCCCAGATTCCGTGGCACTAGCTCCCTCCTGGATTTCAGGCGGTGGCAGTACTAATGGGAGTCTGACACACTTTTGTAGGACAGTTGTTGACCCTTGTGGCATACTATTCACCCCTTGGCCTTGATAAACATTGACCTGAGGTTTGTTCCCAACTGGATTCTGTGGTCTTTGTGCACCACTAACATGCACATACACAGGCACTTGAGGTCGGGTTATGGTGCCTAACTTAGGGGTTGCATACCTCTGTGGTTGTGGAGGGTACACAGGCACCCCTGGAGCTTGGGTCTGGGAAAAACGCTGTGGGGGATCCCTCCCTGTACACCATTATTCACACTTGCTTATCGGAAGGAGGGGTCCTGTAGTGAAGGCGGGGTCGGTTTGTTGAGGCTGTCGTCTCAGTGTTTCCCCCCTCGTATTAACTTCTCCCACTGCCTCCCATAAGAGAGGCACCAGCCGTCATTCAGCTGTCTGGTAGATCATCTTCAGGGGCCCTTCCAAGCAGGGCTTCGCCTCCGTGTTCAACAAACATTCTGATATCTTCCCCAACCAACACCTCCCCACCACCCACTTCGACTCGGGTTTCAGTCTCTTTCTCGTACTCCACGTCTCGTCTACACTCGCTCCACTGTGGCCCATTACCAGCACCCCATAGGATTCCACCATCCGTCCATGGCTGTTTGTCACGGTTGCCCTGATCCATAAGAATTTCTGCTCCACAGCCTTCACTGGTGCAGTGCTCTCTGTCCTCAACAGGTGTTCCACGTCCCCCACTGGACTGCTGTTCTGTGTCCCAATCCGTGGATTGTAGTGGTTGAGTTCTGTCCACAACAGAATGCTGTCTCTGCTGTGGACTCCGCTGGTAATTCTCCTCTAAGAGAATGCGCATCATGGATTCCAGACCTTGTAACCACTCTCCAACGTTCTCCAAACCATTATTGTCCACACCATTGTTCCCCGCACAGCCCTTAATTGTTCCTAGGTCACTGTTAGTTGTAAGTTTCCCGTGCTTCCCCCTGGCGCCGTTCCTCCTCCAGTGCTCTGTGGCATTCTTGTTCCGCTTGCCGAAACAGACCTTCCACTGCCGCTTTCCGGTGCTGTTCTTCTTCCTTCCAGCGGCATTTCCACTCCGAGATTATCTGCCGATTTTTTTTCGATGATCCCTCGTTCGCCAAGACCGTCTGTCGCAGTCACGCGATCTCCTCTGACGCCTTCGTCTCCATGTCCAATCCGCGGCGAGTCTCTGCATCTCCGCTGCTCACGCCTCCGCCCCACTTGTCCTCTCAGCTAACTGTTGCTCCAGCACCTCCACGCGGTTCGTTAGCTCGGCCTGGTCGTTCTTCGTCCTCTGCAGCTCCGATTCTCGGTCTAGTCATTCACTCGCCCCCAGATCGTCTTCCCTTAGCTTACAGTTTTCCACCGTCAACTGTTCCACCTCCCTCTCGAGGTTGTCGATCTTGATCCTGAGAGCTTCCATCTCCGGTCCGTCTTCTTGCTGGTGCAAAGAGCACTCGCTCGAGCTTCTTGCATTTTTCCCGGACTGGCCCCCAAATGTAGCGTCCGAGGCCTTCCGCTGAAGGTGGTCGTAGCACTCTCCCTAGGCCGCTATCGGTGCTTGGCACAACAGCACTTTCAGATAGTCACCATTGAGTACAGTGACCGGGGAGAGCTCCCAACTGACCAGGACGACTTTTATACATAGCTTTACACGCACACAAAAATGAATTTTCTGGCGTCGCAGTAGCAACAGCCAACACCTAGCTAGTGCTCCAGTTTTAGGATTCTCTCCCAATCTGCATTCAGTTAGTTTACCACCAGATAATGTGAGCCTAGAGATCGGTGTTATTGCTCCTCTGAAGGTGTGTCCTTCACTACAAGTCACTGAACCACGCAAAGTTTGAATTGCAAGCTAGTATAATTTTTGAACCATGTATCCTACAATTGTTTTTAGCTGCCTCGGTGCCAGCTAGGGTAAAACACATTGCAACACAATGGCCGACTTGGTCTGCGTAAGGATTTGCACAAAACACCAATGTTCCTTAATTTGCCATCCATATGCTGTAGGTTACTGTAGTATAATTATTATGCTGAAGTCTCTTAGCAAGACAGTGTGGAATGCCTCATAAAAAGTACTAGAACGAATGCAAGCATTGTTGGCGAGCAAATCAATATGTTCATATTTTTCGCACATGTTTTTCTAAACTCACGTAGAACACTTTAAACCCAAGAAAGTGCAGAAATGCAGGAGATGTACACATTGCTCTCCCCTTACATAATACCTATACAGCAAGGGATAAAATTGTTGCGCATGTACGGTGATGGTAATATCTGTCAATAATGGCTTGGGATATGCCTCTAGTAGGAGCCAGTAATTCTTTGGATGTGGGAAATTACTATAATCATTGTGCTATAGGATTCACCTAATATAAAAAATTCCCAGTGCAAAAATGCAATAACTAGAACATAGTAAGCTAATATACTCAAGAGGCTACTAGAGGCATGATCTCTGTGGATCACAGCATCTACAATTAATTTGCCATCGATGCTGTAGGCATTACCCTACTGAAGCATATGCCATCTAAAGACTCCAAATAGCAATTTGAAATGCCTCATAAAAAGTTACTAGAACAAATGCAAAGCATTGTTGGTGAGGAAAGCAAGAGGTTCAATTTTTCGCACATGTTTTTTAAATTCACATAGAACATTACAGTTTGTGCAGTCCGCCCGCGCAGGTCGCAACATATCAACTACAATCCTGCATTTAGGTGAGTTCGCTTCCCATGCCAATTAAATGTGGTCACATTACTGTGGCGAACTGAAATTCTTTCTACAATTTTGTTCACATCGATCTCTGATAATACATGTTTCACATCAACTCCAGACTTACTCAAGTAACTCGGAGTGGTCTGCTATATTAACAACTTCAGAGGGCATATCTGTAACAAAGAGATCTTTTGGAGCAAATGCTCGTTTCCCACTATCATTCTTAGGTCCGAATGTCACATCATCACCAGCGAAAGTGGTAGTATTACCTTCAAAAAATAGGCAGCTATTGCACAGCAGTGAAATGCATGGCAATAAAGGTATATACCACCAGGTGATGCATATTCCTCATCAATAAGTTCTGCTTTCTTTGTAGTAGTAAAGAGTTGTGTATCACCACTTTGATTCTATAGTGAAAAATATGACCAAAGTAGGCACAAATACCAACAACCCTCACATCAATAGTTTCGATTTCTTTAGGCTGTTCTCTTTTGATGTATTCTGCCCTCTTCCTTAGGTAAGTGACATCAGCATCATCTTTAAACCCAAGAAAGTGTAGAAATGTAGAAGATGTACACATTACTCTCTCCTTGCATAACACCTATATAGTATTGGGAAAAATTGTCAGTGATGGTCATATCTATCAATAATGGCTAAGGATGTGCCTCTAGCTAGCCTACGCACATAGTAGTAGGAGCCAGTAATTGTGCTAGCCTCCATCACTGGTTGAGAAACATCCATTATGAACATGGAAACAACACAGTAGGATTCTATTTTAGTACTCAATGCAAAAATGCAACAGCTAATCATTAATGGGAATATAGGACATATTTACTTTCACTGCTACTAGGAATAATCTCTATGGAGCACAATATCTAAAGAGCAAAAACAACACTTTCTGGAATGAAATGGCCATGTCCATATTCAGGAATACCAACGGCAGCAATATATTCAAATTTAAAGTTAAGAAATGATAGTTATAGGGGTATCACCCAGCTACGTGTATGTAGCTGTGAAGGTGTTAGGCGGGCCATGCCCAGGTGCTTCCTTACAAACCCATGATGCACTACAATTAAATACAAAATTAAAAACATGGTGAATATAGGGATGGTATAAAAAGCAAAGAGACAAGACGGGGATGACCTAGTCAACGTGATGTAGTAGAATGTAAAACTGACATCGCTTGGTCGTGCAAAATTTCTTCCACACTAGCCCTATAATGTCGCGAAGAGTGTGCTTCCTTGTATGATGCACAGATATGATTTATTTCATAAGCACATTAGACCGGTACTACCATTTACTTGGTTTTCAGTTGACTGCATTGTGTTAAGTCTAAGACACATTTGCTCAACTAACTTGTTTTACAATGCTGCGTACTTGGCCATCTACAGAATCCCTTTGTCACTGTCCTCGCACTTTACACCATTTACTGAAGAAAAGTGAGTAAAGGTGGCAATATAGGGCTTGTATGGAGGAAATTTTACACGATGTCAGCCAGTATGTAACCATCGTCCATTATACTGCTACATCACGTTCACCAGGTCATCCATGTTTGTCTCTTTGCTCTTTATATTCACCATTTTTTGAATTGGAAGAATTTATTTACTTGTCTCCTTTCCTTTTTTACTGCATTCACATTCATGGTGTGCAGGATATTTTGGGGCATAATGCCCCAAAACAGTAACATTAGTGGCCTTAAGCTATCACCTCAGACGTTTTGTCGCCATTCATTACGTTGTGTATGTCATTATGATCCAGGCAGAGCCAGTGCTCATTAACCGCGATGATGTCATAGCCACTAACAGATTATAAGGTTCTCCACTTACAAGCCCTTGACAATTCATGGTGGTGAGATTAAAAGTAGGGGAGGGATGCTGCAACTGGACATTCTTCCTTGTCAGCGGGAACAGGGTAAAGGTCTATGACGTAGTCATGGTAGAGAGAAGTGTTACTGTTGGACAGGTGCCTCATGTGATATCACCCACGTGTCCTCTGTTTCTCGACACAAAGTGCGCAATTAAAGTTGATCATCTAAAAGATTTTCCTTTGCTGCCTTGTTTACACTGCCTCACTATCATCTTGCAGTTGCCGAAAGATGTGTTCAGAGTACATTCTTGAAACTGACTCTAAATATTTTCCTTCGCTACCTTGGTCGGTACAGTTTACTAGAACAATTAATACATGCTTGGTTTCAAGCAGTGAAAATTTCTCCTGTAGATTGTTCACAAAATTTCTAGAGCTGGGTAACTGTCGTGAAGTTGGAATTTGTGTCATAAGACCTCGCTTTGTTTGCCCAATGATTTCCCATTTAGGTCACATGCCAGTATTTTGTGGTATTTTCTTGAAAATTAGCTGCGGAGGAAGGAAATCTACCACCCAAACAGCACTTATCTGCATTTATTATCACTAAGTACGGTAGTACTTAGTATATAGGGATGACACAGGTCATCCTGCAATATGCCCATACATTTGAGATTTTCATGTTTTACAATCAGATCCATCTTTTGACACATCAGACTGATCTGTATCGTCATGTTTCCAAGAAAAGGCTTAAATCACATAATCGGTAATTTTCAAAATTCTTCTTCTCGTTGTTGTTGTTCAGTTTCAATAAAAAACAGGTAACATACTGAAATAAAACTTGGCACAGAGATTGGAATTCATGACAGGTTGTGCAAGAGCATCTTAATTTGTTTGTAAACAATGTGCAAAAAACAAAAAACAAAAAATAGCCCGTATCGTAATACACCCTCGAGGAAGCTATTTAGGCGACCGATACAAGACACCCTCCCGGCCCAGAGAAAGGCATTTGCACCCGAAGGGCAATGAAGTGACAGGGAACGCCAAGCACTCCACACTTAGAAGACCATGCAGCAATCATACGACCAGCATGCCAACACCCTCCCGGACATCACTATTGGCAATCCAGAAACTAAGCAATGGGATCAATATGGGGCACTCTTTGACACCGGCAGGACCACGAACGGGCATGTACGTGTGCCAACTTCTTTCCCATAAATTATTCCCACTCCCAGAAACAGACCGTGCAATGCTCACACAAGAACCATCACCCCCTCGACGATCAAAAGGACCCAGTCGAGGTAAGCCTGTGCTATTTTTGCATATTTGGCTTGCCTTAAGTTTCGAACGCAGTATTTTTATCTTTTTCCAATCTAGCACTGAACCCGTTTTAATATCTAATCTAAGCCTCAACACATACGGAAAACAGGACACTATGCCTGCCGCCAATGTGAGTGTTGGTTGTAGCCATATGCTCATGGGCCGGAGGGCTCAACCCCTGGCTGCTGTTGGTTTGGCTCCATGAGGGGGTAGTTGTGTCCGCCTGACTACGTCAACTTCCAACCCCCTTAGTAGCGGCTACGTGATTCGGTTGAGTACAACACCACCCGCTCCAGCCCATGAATAACTATTATACCCCTATATGGGGAACTCAACCTCCCACGGTACAATTAGTAAATAAGACAAAGTGACATTTGAGGCTTTAAGCGGCTTGTGCTAACTGCAAAGAAATGGCTGCCAACGTCTCCCAGGGGGTCCGAATATACTACTGGTAGGCTGAAGACTCCCATCTTCCCAGCATCTTCATGGTAGAATCTTGATGCCGATATGCGCAGCGAAAGTGGCAGCCACTATTCGGAAGCTATGTCCAGTGTAGTGTTTTGCATCCATCCCCGCTTGCTGCAGTGTTGTCTGAACTGCTTGTCTCTGGTAAGGAACGAGCCGTCCCTGAAAACAAATAGTGGGCAAAACCCCCATTCAGCAGGCGGCCCACAGCACCACAAAATCCCCATCCGATGCTTTCCCAGACCACTGCGTTTTCAGAGTGCGGAGAATTGCTGGCATGATAAGCAGCCGGGGAGGGGCAGGGGGCTTTGGCATGCGTTTGACTCCTCTCAGGACATATTGGAGGATGGGCATGGCTCCCAGGACGAACGGGTCACCTTCGGCCCTGGTGATAGAGAGGAAACTAACTGCCGACAAGTAGCACTTGATAGATTGCTGTCTCGGGCCTTCTTTCTTCTTTCCTCAGTTGGGCACGAACAGGCCATGGTTGGAGGGGACAAAACTGGGTAAGTATCTCTTCTGGCCCAGACTTGTACGACTGGAGTGTCAATGGAGCTAGAGTGTGGTTGATAGAGAATGAACCATTGTCCTCCAGCTGGCCGAGGTCCAGTCTGGGCATTGCCGGACAAGCATGTCCACTTGGATGCGTGAAGGCTCCTATGGGGTGGAATGCAAAATGCTGAGAGCTTACCGCGGGACAGGCGTCTGCAGCAATGTTGTATGTGCCAGCTACATCGTTGGCTCTAATACCAATGTTGTGTCTCGCTGTAAATAATTGCAGGTACCGGATGAGATGCAAAAGAAGTGGGTGCTTTGCCGAGCCACTTGCTAGCGCTTGTACTATGGCCAAGTTGTATGACCTGGCCAAGACAGTGTTGTCTTCCCGCTCATTCTCCCATATCGCCACAGCAATCACGGCACCATTTCCTTCACTGCACTGTTGACCTGCGACCATGACTCGGGCCATATTAATTGGAAGTAGCACCCCATGTCTGACACTGCCCTGCAGCCCCATGTGCCTGAGGCATCTGAAGTGACCGTGTATGCTGGTAGGGGATCAGGCAGGATCGACCTACGATTCCAGCCGGGGGAAAAAGAAGCCAACCACTGCAGGTCCAATTCGAAATCTACTGTCAGCCGCACGTGATGGTTAGGAAGCTTCACTACCTTCATCAGGTCTATCATCCGCCTAAGAATGGCACGGCAGAGGGCAACCACAAACGTGGCGTGGCTGAGGTGGCCGATGAGTGACTGCAGCCACCGCTTTGTAGCAGTCTGGCGAGCTCTGCAGGACGACACCGTTGCCACGTCCAGACTGAGTGACATTGAGAATACCAGGAAGGTCAGAGTCCTTGATGGATCCTCTGTCTTGTAGGCCACTATTGGTACCCCAGCTGGCTGCAGGTAGCCAGAGCCAGCCCCAAGGCCCGTTTACATTCCTCTGTGCCCGGCCGACCGAGGAAGAGGATGTCATCCAGGTAGTGCAGTGGCCATTTGACACCTCTCCTCCATAGCACCCACGCTAGCGCATCTGCAAATGGCGAAAAAATCTTGGGGGCTAATCGCAGCCGAAACGGCAGTGCTGTGTCAATGATTGTCTCCATTCGACCCCAGCAGTGGATGATCATCAGGATGAACAGGAAAAACCCTGTATGCCTGGTGCAGGTCAATGTTTGCCAAGACTGTAGGCTAGTACTAACCCCCAGGCTGCCCGGCACCCCCTTCGCGCTTCCTTTGCGCGTGGCAAGGCACCCAAGCCACTCGTACGGCGGCACCCCGGGGACGCCAAAAGGCCGCTGGCATTTCGCCGCAGCCCGCACTGGCACCCAGCATCACATCCATACGCGCACCCCGCCCCTCCTTCTGCAGCCCCCACTGCGGCATCAAGACGTACGGCATGCCACTAGCCACTTGCTTACAGCCAGAGGGGTCTCACCTGGTTGGTAGGCTGGCCTAATTATCTCCTTCCAGGTGCCACAGCGCCATCCACCTCTGGCCTGCAACTGTCCATTGCTA